GAGAATTACAATGCTACTTGAGGATCACCAGCAACTTGAATCAGTCAAGAAACGTCAATCAAATTTGCCAGATTTTGCTTTAAAGATGAGAAAAAATGGGATAGATTCACAAAGGCCCCTTGTCTTAGAATAGGAAGCCTGATAAACCCTTGTTGAATCCCTCTTATGAGGCCTTGGGAGTATAATGATCCATTTGGAAGAAAATCAAAATCAGTATTACCGGTGACAAATTGGACAAAAACCCAGAAACTCTCATTAAAAAATCTAAAAATTAATAATTGGAATAATCAACCATCTAGTGTCTCTAAGCAATACAATATTCTATAATAGCTCATAGGTTAGTATAGCAAAGAAAAAAAGAGAAATAATCTAGCAAATGGACAAATTTGAATCCTATAACTTGCAAAAAAATTTTTAGTTAAAGGATCATGGGGCCCATGCTTATCATTGTGCATCTCAGAGCTGACTTTAGGGCTGCAAGTGGGGGCTCTTAGGGAGAAAGGGTCAGGGTTAGGGGATCCCACGGCAGAGCTCCTTAATCCCCACTCCTTCCAGTATAGAGCTCAATTTTTATCTCTTATTCCACCCAAAAGTTCAGTTGAGCAAATGGTTTCTCTGGTTAAAAATAATTTAAGAATCACCTATGTAGCCAAGACCTCTCTTTTCATAAATGAGTAAAATGAATGCCAGAGAAATTAGGGAATTCTTAATTTAGTGTTGGATCTGGAACCAGACCCTGGATCACATCTTTCTCCCCAGTGCTCTTCCCTCATGGCACCATGCTCTTACTCTCAGGGAGCGAATCAGGTGAGAATTCCCATACCTTTGGATTTGGGCTGTTTTTTTGTTTTTTGTTGTTTGTTGCTTTTGTTTTTGAACAACCATAAGGGCAAAAACTAAGGAAGCCAAATTAGTATGAGAAGAGGCATAAATGCTACATTGAAAGTAAAAGCATAGTCTGCAACCGTATTCCTTTGTCTATATTGTTTCCAGTCACACTGAAGAATTATATCATCAGCCAGCACCTGAAAGGGGTTATGAGGGAGGGTAGAAAGGCCTAGTTCCATTTTCTTATGTCACCAAATGTATTCCTATTAAGATTGAGAGAAGTAAAGATTTCAGTAGGATACTTGGTGAAAACTTGCTGACATTAATGACTCAAATTCTCAGAGACACTGCAAGGAAAATGGTGTCATCACTGTCATTCAAGACATTTAAGATGAAATTTCAAAAGGAGACTGTCAAGCATAATGACTGCCAGGTTCTATTATATCATTCTCAGAGGGTGGATCACACACACTACTATGCAGGCTGTGGGTGGTTGATATTGAAGTTTGAAAGGAAGCTGCAGAGAGGAGGTGGGGTGGGCGTAGGACCCAAGAGGAGCTGCTTCACAAGCAGGACACATCACCGTTGACATTCTCATGGTGACTTGGGGTAAATCTATGATCCAGAGCCTAGTCTTTAGTCTTGGATATGCTGAAACCTGACCCATCAGGGTATTGTGACAAGATTGTGCTCTTGGTGAACAAAATTCAGGAAATTTGAGCTATAAATGGTGGTACCCGCTTATTAATTTACAATAGGAATATTCCTCTCTAGTGACTGGATGTTCATGTTTGCATGCACAAAGCCTAGTTAATAATTAGAAGGCAGCTGTATGAGAAAAGCCCCCATTTTCAACCTTGACTGTCCATTGAAATCACCTAAGGCCGTACTCTAAAATCAAATAAATCTGAATCTCAAAGATTAGGATGCAGACATTAGTATTTTTAAAATCTCCTCAAGTGATTCCGATGAGCACCCAAGGCTGAGAACCACTGGATTAGAGTAGAGGCCTTCCACCCAGTTCCTGTGAGCCCGAGGACTCATTCTTTCCGCCCAGAAGTCCATGCTTTTGCATATCCTAGACCAGTGGGTTGGTTGGTCATTCAAACTTGGAACAGATAGAGGTTTGCCAATTTTTTAATTTGCCAAATAAGGATATTAAAAATTCAACTATTATTATTTCATTAAAGAAAGGAAATTTTAAGAACACAAAAATTAAGGACACAATTTTTCTATAAAAGAACTCACTCTCTTCTATTTCTTTTTCTCATGTTTCTCCAGATCAGGGAAAACTTCACTGTAGACCAATACACACAAAAGAACCAGTGTGATCTAACCACTCTCTATGTCCAGAGTCAGGACTTTAATTCTTGGACCACTTTCCATACACGTGGCTGGGTTTGGTTCATTAAACCACTGTCCAACGCCAACTACTCCTCCTTACCACATCCTTCCTGTAGATGTATTGATAGTATTGATTAAGGTAGGTAATTTCTGCTCCCAGGCTTGGAAATGTTCTGTTTCTTCCAATTACAGAATATGTTGATTTAATTAGCATAGCTCTTCTTAGACATCTTTTTTTTTTAATGCAAAAAGGTGGTTTTATTAAAGCACGGGGACAGGCCCCGTGGGCAGAAAGAGTGGCCAGCTCTTCTTAGACATCTTAAACTAGGGTTTCTGGAGTGGGCGCAGCACATGTGCCCCCAGATAAGCACTTATTGGGGCCATTGCTGCACCCTTGTTTTGCTATTGGACAATGATGGCAATTATTCTAAATCCAGTGGAGAATTCATTGGGAGGGCAAATAACCTATGGTGAGTTGCTTATTGTGTGTGTCAAGTTACATGAAATAAAAAAAACCTTACCTATATTGTAAACCCAGTTTTGAGTGCCTCTGAGGAATCTAGGGTGTACCCTGTTCTTCTGCGGGCATGGTTTATGTTGCCCCCTTCCTCCCTTGAAGCAACATTGGCATTTTGGGATCAGTTCTATACTTAGTTGTCTATCTTTAACAAGACAGCCTCTGGCAGCTACTAAGAGAGGGTAGCTGTGCCAGGAAGTCCAAGACTGTACCTCAAAGTGCATATAATCTAGAGACTCATTTATGCTGACAAAGGCATAAAATACATCTTCCTTTTTTAATTTCTCTTAAGCTGCTAGGCTTAAAGGTAGATAAAGAGAATAGAAACTAGCATAAATACGTGGTTTTGACCAGCTGGGAAAGTTCTGTTTGCAGATGTCTGTGTTCTCCAAGCACCCAAGATATACAATGAATAATGAGCTACTCCGCTTTTATTGCTCCCAGCCCAACACAATCCAAAATGAAGAGCTTGTCCTCTCTTCAAGGCCAAGGGCTTTGCTTAGGATAGCATATAAACCTCAAAATTAGAAGACCAGATTTGAGGGGCTCCCGTGTCACTCAGTCAGTTAAGCCTCCAACTCTTATTTTCAGGTCAGGTCCTGATCTCAGGGTTGTGAGATCGAGCCCCACATCAGGCTCCATGCTCAGCTCAGCACAGAGTCTGCCTGAGATTCTTTCCCCTCCCTCTACCTCCTCCTCTCCCTCCCTTTCTGCTCCTCCCTCCACTTGTGCTCTTTCTCTCTCACTCTCTCTCTAAAATAAATAAATCTTAAAAAAAAAAAAAAGAAGAAGACCCGGATTTGAATCCCAGCTCCACTACTCTTGGGTAAGTTGCTTGATCTCTCTGAGCCTCAGTTTCCTTACCTATAAAATGGAGAGATCATTTCTATCACCTTCTTCATCATCACTTTATATGGTAATTATGAGGACTAAATAAGTTAATTTAGGTAAAATACTTAACAATGTACCATATATACTAAGTTCTCACTAAAAGTTAACTTTGTAGGTCAGAGCCTAGCACAAAATGTGGCATACGATAGATAGTCAGCAAAACTTAACACATACACACACACACACACACTCACGACCTTGTATCTTGTTTGCAGGAACAGGAAAAATCTCTTTGGGAATGCTGAGTTAAAAAGCTGTTACGGGACACCTGGGTGACTCAGTTGGTTGAGCATTGACTCCTGATTTCACTCAGGTCATGATCTCAGGGTTGTGAGATTGAGCCACATGTAGGGCCCCATGCTCAGTGGGGAGTCTACTTGAGACCCTCCCCCCACCTCTCTCTAAATAAGTAAATAAAGTCTTAAAAAAAAAGCTGTTACTAAATTCTGAACTTTAGTTTTCAGATCTTGACAATGTAAATGGACTCATTTTGCTATTTAATCTTGCTCATGACTTTGTCTCTTGTCTCCGTAACTGATGACTTCTGCTGGACCCTTGCTTTTCTATGGTTAATTCATAGAGCCACCTATCTGAGCACAATCTCTTCTTTCCATGACAATGCTCTTGTCTTCTTTATAGATTGATACTTCTCAGACCCAGAACCTCATTTCCTTGCTATAGTCCTGAAGCAGCCAAGCGTTTTGAAGGAAAGCTTTTAGAAATCTAGATATTTGTACCTGTGTGCCAGTAAAAACTGGAATCCACTTCTCTATTGACACACTGATTCTAAATCATGGATCTGGGGGAAGAGAAGTTAGGATGACAAGCCCTGACAGTGGGTCTAGGGCACCCAACTCCGTTCAATATTTTATCCTGTTATGATTAACATTTTTTTAAAGATTTTATTTATTTATTTATTTATTTATTTATTTATTTATTTATTTATTTATGAGAGAAAGAGAGCATGAGAGAGAGCGAGAGCATAAGCAGGGGATACAGGGAGAGGGAGAAGCAGACTCCCCGCTGAGCAGGAAAACAGACTCCCCGCTGAGCAGGAAACCCGACGTGAGACTGGATCCCAGGACCCCAGGATCATGACCTGAGCCGAAGGCAAATGCTTAACCGACTGAGCCACCAAGGCACCCCCGATTAACATTTTCCAAAATCAGTTAATTACCACTAAATATAAATGTGTTCTTCCTCTGTCCAAACTCCTCTTCAACTCCCACGAAAAACAAAAACACAACAATACATGAGTTTCTCCAGTTGCTGAAAATTTACCATAGGAGCCAAGCCTGTGTCTGAAAGTTTCAACTCACCCAATCAGATGAAAGACTGGGGGAAAGGGAAGGCATTTATCAAGTTACACGGAGGGCTCCATCTGTTATCTTAGACCTTTGTTACCCAAGGGACACAAGAAGAGATACTCGAAGGCAGTGTGAAAGAGTTTTATTTTACAGATTCTTAGTCCAAAGATTTCAAATTTGAGAGAAGCAGCAGCAGAAAAGGAGAAAAGTCAAGTAGGTGTGATGAAGAAGCTTCCATCCTGGCATTCTACCGACAAGAACCAGCGTCGAGAGTGAAGGTGCCTCTTCCGCCGGGATCTGTCCGTTCAGCCACTATAATAAATGCAGCCAAAGGGGCAGTCACTTCTCATCAGTCGCAAAGGTCTCGTTTTTGAACCTCACTCTCACAAAAGCCATTTCTCATCATGCCAAACCAACAAAAGAAAGTCATTTTTTGCATTGCTGGGGTGTTAAGCTTTGTGTGCGCCCTCGGATTGGTGACAGCCCTGGGAACACCGTTGTGGATCAAAGCCACCTTCCTCTGCAAAACGGGGGCTCTGCTCGTCAACGCCTCTGGGCAGGAACTGGACAAGTTCATGGGCGAAATGCAGTACGGGCTTTTCCACGGAGAGGGCGTGAGGCAGTGCGGGCTGGGAGCGAGGCCCTTTCGGTTCTCACGTAAGTAACAATTGCATTTGAATTATTTAATACTTTAGGCATACTCTTTCAACTGTTGCAAGGGATTATTTTTAAGAGGCTTGCCCTGTCTATTACAGGCCTTTCAAAACAGATGTGAACCTTTTGAAATAAGTCAGTCTTTTCCGAGAGACTTCCTCTTCCTAGTTTTTATTATTTTGTTTTTATTAATTATTTCATTCTGTTTTTATTACGACAACATATAGTTAATGAGCTGCTATGGAATTAAACTTTGAAAGGATAAGCAATTAAATTCTTAAAGATTAATATTTATGCTAGAAATTTCGGTATCTTTTTAAAAGGAGAGGGGCGACCTGGAGAAGTAGAAAGATGTAAGAGAGGATCTTCATTGTGTTCTTTAAAAAAAAAAGGGGGGGGGGACCAGTGTCATGGGTTCCTTAACCAACTCTAGCTGCTTTTCCACCTTGCTCATGACTTTGTACCCTGTCTTCCCCTGTATTATCCCTGCTAGGACCTTTCCTGCTGCTAATATTCTTTTTTTTTTTTCCTTTTTTAACCAATTTGAATCACTTGGCTAGAGAAATTTTAAATGATCTGCTATGCTAACTGGGAAAGAAATAGATGCCTATTTAGTATAGAAAATCTGCAACTGATTGACCTTCAAATCATGTAGAGAATATGAGACAGATTTTCCCGTTCGATTTTTGTGAAATGGAAGTGTTACCCGCAGTATTTATAACCTGTTTATCTTAAGGGAATTTTTTTAAAATTACCATGTGAATAGGCAACTCATTAAATGAAAATTAATAAGAAGTCATTTGTTATATCTCTCACAACACACATTCAGAAATCATTATTTCAAAAGGGCTGGTTTGGAACAATCTTATGAAGAAACAGCCAGTAAATTACTGCATAAATCACTCTTCAGGAAAGGAGGTTACCAATTGAGGCATTTAAAATGAATTATTATTTTGCCTGGGTATTTTTTTTCTCTAGCATAGGTAGAAAGCTAAATTAATTGAATTTATTATTAACCTATGCAGTGTCTAATTAAATTTCAGTGCTGGCCTCTTTCTATTTCTGCAACATTCCTTATATCTTCTTAGCAGTCATTGGACACCAACCTTCACTCACATAGGTTATTAGGTGATATGAATTGTCACAGGGCTCCAAAAAATACCCACGAATTAGTCTTTAGCTTTTCAAAAAATTATCATCACTAGATTTGATGAAGTGAATACCAACTCTTTTCACTGAATGGCTTTAGTTCATTAAGGTAATAGGGCTGTTAGAGTTGCTTAGCTTTCCTTAGGGGGGAAAGAGAACAAAGCAGAATATCACATGATTTGCAACTGTATTAAAAAATAAAAAAGGAAAAAAGATGAGTGAAATGATTTAACCATGAGTCATTGGCAGCTAAAGCGTGAGTAAAGCTTCTCACAAACGAATTTAGACAAAAGCAGGGAACATACAGTGAATTTTCTGGAGCCTTTGCATTTTGTACAGTGAAATAAACTTTACTCATACCACAAGACAGGTTTCAAAATAATATGTTCTCTGAATACTTACTAGACACTAAGCATATTTTGTGTTATTTAATCCTCACACAACTACATTCCTTGGTGGTTCGATGCATGGTTTTTTTATGGCTGTGTCCTCTGCTGGCCCCGTCTGCGATGCGGTTGTTCTAATCACCTGTCCCTCTCTCCCTTTGCTTTTATGAGGACTCAGAGTCAGTGGGGTTTAAACCATACCTTCATCCGTCACAGACTTGCATTCGTCCCCATGATACTCTGAACAATTCCCCCCAGCCTTGTGAAGAAAATCTGACATTTGTTGGTTCTGTGGTGACAGCCTCTCTATAGAACCTCTCTAGATGCTAGACCTATTAAAACCTCATTTATTTCCATGAGACTCAGCAAAGCAGACTTACAGTATCACTTTTTCTGCCTAAGCATGGAACATGAAAGAAAGTTGGGAAAACTGAATACCTCCAATGGATTCCCTAAAAAGCATAATTCTCATTTAAATGAACAGCTCTCTTGGTGCTAAAAGCTTCCTAACCAATGTGCCTTTAGAACACACCGCACCCTCTAAGTTTACACTCCTGTTGCAAGATAGCTTCATGGTCCATATCTTCCCACTCAAAATGCCATCACCCTGCCAGTGATGTTCTACCAGCGTATTCTGGAAGGAAAAGAGCCCTCTGATATTCTTCCTAAGAGAAAGGTATAGCCCCATTAATGTAAGAGAATGAGAGGCCTAAACCTGTCTTCTCAATAAAGGCAACCTTCGAGCAAAATCCAGAGCCCCCAAAGAGCTCGGGGGAGATGATTTTCTGTTTCTTCCAGAGCCCAACTTATGATTAGGGCACAATTCCTTTCCCAGAACTTCCGCCTTTCTCATTTTCCCTTTAGAAAGTTATTAAGCAAACATTTGGATTTTAAGAAACTTTCCAGTGTAGAAGGAATGGAAAAGGCAACCCATCGAAGTATCAGTCACTTCTTGACCAGTTTTCTTCACGTTGTTGTGTTATCATCAGTTAATATGAATTTACGTTTCAATTCTGTGGGATTGCTAAATGGTTCTTTGCTTGGCAAACTTTTTCATTTAGATCAGTATTGATCAACGGAAATACAATGCAGACCATAAACGCAAGCCACGTTTGAAACTTTAAATGTTCTAGGAGCCATATTAGAAAAAAGAGTAAAGGAACCAAATGAAATTAAGTTTAAGGATACTTTTCTTTAACCCAAGATATCCAGAATACTGTCATTTTAACATGTAGTCAATATAAGATAGGAGATATTTTACTTTTCTTCCCCCCAGTGCTTAGTCTTTGAAATCCAGTGTGCATTTTACACTTACAGGCCATCTCAACCCAAACTAGCCACATTTCAAACGCTCACTCGCCATTTCGGTGTGGCTAATAGCTATCACAAGGGGACAGTGCAAATTTAGCTAGAGATTTACTCTGAGTAAACTGGGCATTGACAGTGTCCATATTCATATTCTAAATGACTTTTTGCTTGGTTCTGCTCTACAAGTTGATGTGTTATTTTTATGGGCAATGCACATGTCACTTTTAAAACCCAGACACACTAGTATAACATGAGGATAAAGAATGGACTAGAAAAATATTAGGCACTGTTGTCATGTTTGTTCCTATTAAATGTTCCCTGTTGACCACTCTATCTCTTTTAATTATAACAAGCATCTTCCCTGCCAGCATGCACAGTTATGCTGGGAAAACTTCTGCCTCGTTTACTCTGGCTGATTCTCATCCATTTAGGGGTCAGCGCTTCATTTTCTAGAGGTCACTAGCATTCATATGTAGCACACAATTTCATTCATTATGATGAAGGACTGTTTCCCTTTCAAGGAAACACAACTGGTGGGCTTAATTTTTCCTGATATGTCACCTGTAAAATTTTAATGATGCTGTTTAAATTCTAACTGTAGCCATCAAGAGAAAAACTGCCAGTTTTGAGCTTAGTATGTGTGGGTGGGTTTCTGTTTTGGTGGTTTGAAACACTGCAGAGCATCATCAAATACGATACCCAAGAATCATATGGTATCAATCATTCCAAGATTTGCTGATCTATTTATTGCCAAAATAGTTCAATGAGCTGGTAAAAACATATGGAGGGTTTTTTTTTTTTTGAAATGTGAAAAATAATATCTAACCAATCGTGTATCACAGCTTGCAACTTCAGTCATACTTTTAAAGCATTTTAATTGAGACCTTATGACTGAAAATTTGTTAAAAATCTTAACAGAGATTTAGCCTACTTCATATTTTTAAAAAGCAGACTTTCTTTACCAAATAAGGTACGTCACCCAGATTACAGAGAGGATGTTGAAACTATTTATGTCAGCAAGCAGGTGGCTTCTCAAACAGATTTTGAGGTACAACAGTCGGGACTCGGGGTCTCTGCCACCATTCCCGAGAGTCAGCACTGTACCTCCATGGTCTCCGGTGAGCGTGACTCCCCCCCTGCCCCAGGTGCTCCACTACTCACCATCCTGCACATCCTGCTTCTCTCCTATCACCCCGCCTGCCCATGGCAGAGCTGCAAAGGTCTTTATGTACCCCTTCTGAGAACACTGCCTGTCCCTCCTCCCTTCCTTAATGGACGGTCCCGTGGGACGGAAACCTATGGAGTTCACCAGGGAACACGCCCTGGTGGGAAGAAAGGGGGAAGACAGTCGTACCATTTCACCTCGCTAGTGTGGGTCCTCCTGCCTGTTAGCTCAGGACCCTCTTGTCTGGTCTCACCCATTCCAACAGTCCAGCAAATAGAGATTTTGTTTTCCTTCCATTGGGGAAAAAAAAAGTGACTGTGGGCTAGAAGATAGTAATGGTTGAGAAGCACTAGTGTAAAGGGAAAATCTTCAACTTTTCTTGGCCAAATAATTGTTTCCTGCTTTGTCCTTCCCAGACCTTGATGTTCACTCTATTATTTCAAATCACCTTGGATTATAAGTATTTGAGAATGTGTATATCTCTGCAAGGAGATCCTGAGCCATCAGAAGGCAGGGGCTGGTATTCTTCATCCCCAAACTCCCTCAAGCAGACCTAGCACAGTGCAGGTTACAAAAAGGTGCTTGATAAATGTTTGGTAAACAGACAGGATTGAGATTAAGTAACCTGAGTTTGAGGCAGGTCTGTGTCACTCCCTGGGGATTAGATTTGGAGCAAATCACATTTCATTGGTTTTCAGTTCTTGCATCTGTAAAATGGGAGATGAAACTGGGTGATTTCTAACATCTCTTCTAGTTCAGACACTTTATGATCTATGTAATGAGGGGCTGGCTGTTCTAGACAAGGTCCTTCCAGCTTTAAAACTGCTTGACCCTTCTACTCTGTCGCTTGAAGCCTCTGCTGACAGATTCCAGCCACTATCATCGGAAGTGGTGAGTTTTGTGCGCCTTTACTCTTTGGTCCTCAAAGCCCATGATTTTTACAGTATTCTGAAATACCTACCATTTATCAGGACCCAAATGAATTTTGTTATCAC